CGCTGTGAGTCGCCTTCGGGCTTGAGATACAGCGGTATATAAGCAAAGTAAATAAATAAATAAATATATAAACCCAATTTTCCTAGTTTCCAACAGACCTCACAACCTCTGAGGATGTCTGCCACAGGTGCAGGCAAAATGTCAGGAGAGAATGCTTCTAGAACATGGTCATATAGCCTGAAAAGCCTACAACAACCCAACCCAGGAACAGGCCTAWTAATGAAGGCACCAAGGTGTCCCCACTTCCATGTGCCACATAGAACAGCTCTGCTTAGGGGGAGGGGGGAGGAGGAGAAGCAGCAGTCAAGAGGCTTGTTGTCGCACCTTTTGCGGGAAGTCAGCCTCCACCCCCACCCCCCCTGAGACATCTCTGTTGCCTCGGCACTCTGGGAGGTTTTCGCAAGACCAGCTGGTCTTGTTGCAACGGTGTAGTAATGGTGAGGCCATAGGTTGGGAATCACTGGCTTAGAAGATGGACTCATGCATTAAAGTGGATAGGTATATGGGGCAGTGGGAGGAGATATTTCACACTGAACACAAGTCACTCACCCTCTGTGGAAATATGTACATGGAAAATAACATCTAATCTGGAATTTGAATGCTGACCTGGAACCTTAAAACTATGATTACACTTTTCCCAGTAATGTAATATATTACTTACAAATAATGAACCCCAGAACACATAACCTCCAATAACAGCAATAGAAATGAAGCGTGCTTGACCCCAAACAGCAGCTAAAACACCACCTAAGCCAATGTGTATCAATCCAATGATGATCTGGATGGCCTGGGGGAAGAAAGTGAACAAAAATGAAAAAAAATCTTAATTTCAAAGATTTAGAAAATCTGAAAAAGGCTGTTGAAAATGCAAGAAGATCCACAATGTAGGCCTGATCTGTTCTCTTACATTAATATGATACTGAAACAGAAATTTATCCATAACTTCTACCCACCTACCTGTTAAAATGTCATTATTCAGTAACTGTGAACAAACCACATTCAATTAACAAAGGGTTAATTTAAACACTTATGTAATAGAGCTACATAATACCATGGAGATCTTTGCCAGTCAAATTCTTTGTAAATTACTGCTATTGTTCCCGTGTCTTCCTTTTTAGGATCTACACTAGCAGTTGACATGAGTTTGAGAAAGAACATTTAAGAGTTTGAAGCTCCAGAAGGGCCAGGCTTTCAGCCTCTCTGGACATAGAAAATGTGAGATCTGCATACCTACTTCTGTGCAAGAAGAAAGGGACCTCTGCTTCCTACATAGAAGTAGATATTCTGATGTTAAAAGTAATTTCCCAACCTATAAATTCAAAAAGGCCAGAAGTGGCACCACAGTGAGGACAGCGCTTGTTTTAGGCCATTGGTTCTCAACCCAGATGTTTTGGCCTTCAACTCCCAGAAATTCTAAACTGGTTTGAGTTGGCTTCTACCATTTGGAAACTAAAAAAAACCTAAACTGGGGAGCCACAGGTTGAGAAACACTGTTTTAGGTTCTCCTGGGATAGATAAGAGATAAGGTACAGTATTTATATTGAAGGATGGATTGGTTAACCCAGGTTTTCTGGGTTGATTTTTTGGCTAAAATGTATAGACTTATACATGAGTATATATACGAATCTATCAAAAAAGTTTAAACCAATTAAAGCATTATTATTATTATGTTTATGGATAGCAAATAAATAAACAAAACTGAACTATAGTCCCAGTCACTTTTGCAAGTATACTTTTACTGTTGGTCATAGATGAGAAGAATTCTCAAATTCCTCCTGGGATAGGGAGTGTTTTGGACCACCAGATTTCATGATTTTGGTTATCAAAAATTCACAAAAAATCTCAGTACTCCTATCTGTTTGTCCTCTGGTCATTCTATTAGCCAGGGGAGTTGAACTCTCAGCCTTTACATGCCAACTTGGACCATGGGCTTATGGTGATGACTTCATTCTGGCAGCGAAACCACTATGGACAATGTACTTCACCATGAACAGTCATTCAACATACTTACCCCCAGAGTCTTGGCAACGTTGAGAAATTTCTCCATTGGGCCCACTTGGAGGTTCTGCTGAAGTGGCCTCCTCAGGCTTCCGAACTGCTGGCCTACATATTGTATCATTCCCGGTGGCTGTGTAACTGCAGCACCAGGAATCCCCTGGCCATCTTGGTTGGCACCATTTGGGGCAAGAAAGACTACTGTTCCACTAGCCATTTTCAGAGAATGCCTGGAATGAATCACTGTTAAAGTATCTGCAATCTCATCAAAGAAAGACACCAATGGATAGCACTGACAACAAATATAAATCATGTGAGATACACACACACAAACACACACACATATAGCATCAGCAATAGGCAGCTACATTGAGGATCAGGAAGTCTTCCATTAATTCTGCATTGCTGTAATTACCAGTTTTACAAGATCTTCAACTTTCTGTGCCAAAGAGTGCTGGTGCCACACTAAACTGGATTGATTCTACAGTGTAGACACACCCATAGTCAACATTCTGAATTGTTTTAGAAATGAGCCAGAAGCCAGGCCTATTTTAACCCGAAAGACTAATCCATGGGATTTTATCCATAGAGTCACTGCTATCTAATTTGAACTGCATTTTTCAATATCTATTTTTCTCTTTGGAGAGCTTCTGCCTCTCCAGTATGAACTGAAGGGAGCTCTGCTTGTGTTCAAATGTAATTCCTGGTATTTATTCAAGGCATTACTATTATTCTTTCAATTCAATCCTGTTATTTGTTAAAAGCCATTCAATGCAGATCTTTGGATCAAATTACACTATGTAACACAATTTTTGTTCCCAGGTTATAAATGTCATTAACTAATTGTTTCTATCACAAAAACATGGAAAAAGTTTATTAAACTGCAAAAACTTTTTTTTTGCGGGACATTTTGCTGCAATTTTTCAATGAATATCTCCTAAAGTAGGGCTCCACAAACTTTTTAAACAGAGGGCCAGGTCACAGTTCCTCAAACTGTTGGAGGGCCGGATTATAATTTGAGAAAAACATGAATGAATTCCTATGCATTCCACATATCTTATTTGTAGTGCAAAAATCACTTAAAAACAATACAATAATTAAAATGAAGAACAATTTAAACAAATATAAACTTATTAGTATCTCAATGGGACGTGTGGGCCTGGTTTTGGCTCAAGAGATAGGATTGTAAACCGCAATGAGTCGCCGACTTAGGCTGAGATATTAGCGGTATACAAGTGTATTAAATAAATAAATAAATAAATAGGATTGTTGTCGTTGTTGTTGTGTGCTTTCAAGTCGTTTCAGACCCTTAGCAAGGGCCGGATAAATGACCTTGGAGGGCCGCATCTGGCCCCCGGGCCTTAGTTTGAGGACCCTTGTCCTAGAGTTTCAACCAATTCAGAGTAGTTTATGGCAGCCACAAAAACAAAGTTTCTAGAGTATAACAACTATTTTCAAAATAAATACTGCACAATTAAACAGGAAATAAGACTTTCAAATCAGGAACAGTTTTTTTCCCCCAAATTTTATTACATAGTGTTATTCAGTGACCCCTATCAATCGAACTCCCCCTAGAAGGACTTACCTGATACTCTTAGATGTGTTTCCCTTTGTATCTATAATCTCACAAGGAAGAAATGAGAAAAATAATAAAGTGTCATTCTCATTGGACTTTGATTCTTGCCTCCCAGTTTCTCCCTTCGTGTTATTATCTCATTTTGCTACGACCTTCTAGACTTCTGTTATCAGATATTCTCAGAGATATCAAAGTTAGTGAGAAAGGGTAAATGTGTTCAGCTAAATGTTAATAATCTAAAGTTGTAGTTACATAGATCCTTTATGTTTATTAGAAATGTGGGCGGGGAAGCGAGAAAGAAGGCAGTGATGGTGTGGGGAGGCAGGAAGGAGAAAACATTGGGGAAAGTGCAGACTCCTGTATTTTTAATGGTTGCATAAGAGGATTTTCAGCAGATGTTGCCTCTTACCTGACAGTCTGAAAAGGAGCATCTGCTGACATTTTCTCGGTTATATAACCACTGAAGATACAGGAGTCCTTGCCAGTGTTTACTCTGGCTATCCTAATATGTATCTGCTGTCCTTTGCAATACAGTACTTTTTACTCAACAGAACTCCACTCTGCCACTAGGTAGAAGTTTGTATTTTCGGGTTGTTTCCACAGCTCCCAAACTTTTTATTTCACAGTTGGTAAACTGGTAAGTTTATAGATATGATATGGTCAGCCAAGATCTGTTATACACAATACCTTCTGAAAATATTTTACTATCAAATACCGCCCCCCCCCCAAAAAAAAACAACAATTCATCTCTTTGTTAGAGTTCACAATTATATCCCAAATTATTTTAAAAATAGATATTGCAGCAAATCCCAATTGATCAATGGGGAAAATAGTAAATACATGGATCCTTTTAAGGCAGTGGTTCTCAACCTGTAGGCCTCCAGATGTTTTGCCCTTCAACTCCCTGAAATCTTAACAGCTGGTAAACTGGCTGGGATTTCTGGGAGTTGTAGGGCAAAACACCTGGGGACCCACAGGTTGAGAACCACTGCTCTAAGGGCATTATCGCATGAGGCTTAAAAGCCATGCTGGAAACTCCATAGCCGCAAATAAAAAACAAAGTAAAACAAAAAAAACATTGCATAAAGTCATTGGAAACTTTCTGCAAAGCAATCTTCAAATCATGTTGAAGCAGTCCTTTCTGAAAATGAGCAAAACCAATTTTGGGCTGCTCAACTCATGTTTCAACCTGTCTTCCAAAGGATTTTCAACCAGGTGTGACTTTGGGGCCAGTGGCATGTATGGCATTTACTTTCAGTAGGCAGACATAGATTCCACCTGAACATTAGGAAGAACTCCCTGACTGTGAGAGCTGTTCAGCAGTGGAACTTCCTGCCCTGGAGTGTGGTGGAGGCTTCTTCTTTGGAGGCTTTAAAACAGAGGCTGGATGGCCATCTGTCAGGGGTGCTTTGAATGTGATTTTCCTGCTTCTTGGCAGGGGGTTGGACTGGATGGCCCACAAGGTCTCTTCCAACTCTATGATTCTAGGTCTGGCTGCAAAGATGAAAGTTTTCCCAATAATAACTTCATTTATATCCCATCCCATCTCTCGTAGGGGACCCGGGCCGTTTTCTCTCAATCTCTTCCTCTTTTAAAACCCTTGTTGCTGATATGAATTTTCCCTCTCATTAGGAGGGGAATCAATTCCTTTGCTTGTGAGGCAAGGTCATTTTGCAAACCTCTCCCCCTCCCGTGTGTGACTTTGCATCACTAAAAAAGGTTTCGAATGCAAAATTACATCTCCCCTTCAGGATAAACACACTAGAAGCAGACTTTTTAATGGCAAAATGCTTATTTATTTTACAGTAATATTTTAACAGAATACATTTTAAGTGTTCATATGAGCAATGCTTTAATACTTGAAGTATAGAGTTGTGCAGCTTCGAACTTTTAAGACAGTGGTTCTCAACCTGTGACCCCCAGGTGTTTTGACCTACAACTTCCAGAAATCCCAGCCAGTTTACCAGCTATTAGGATTTCTGGGAGTTGAAGGCCAAAACATCTGAGGACCCACAGGTTGAGAACCACTACTCTAAGAGAACAAAAGGCTGGTCTTGCAATATTGTGAACTCTTGGATTTCTGCAATTCTGACAGAAACAAAGAAGGGGGCATGTCTGAAGACAGGGAATGCATAGATCGGGAGGAGTTATGTTCCAGCAGCTGTGGTAAGCTTTGAGCTGGGCCAGGTAGGCATACCATATTTTCAGGTGCTAATGTGTAATCGAATCTAATGCGCATCTCAGTTTTCAGAACCCTGAAACTAGTAAGTATTTGCTGGCGAATGCAATGGGCAGTGGCAAAAGTGCATGCTTTGTAATTTGCCCCAAAAGGTGTGCATGACAGTTTTTGCGTGCTTAGAATTCCTTATTTAAAAACAAGAGTTAGAACACCAAAACTTCCAGCAATGGAAAGGAAAACCAGAGAAAGAGGTAAGTCTTCCCCCAAGATGCCTCTGTTGTTCATCCCACCTCAACTTCCTTGGGTTCATCTATGCTGTAGAATTAATGCAGCAAGTTGATACTGCTTTCATTGCTCTGGCTCAATGCTATTGAATCCTGGGAGTTGTAGTTTTATAAGGGTCTTTAGCCTTCTCTGCCAAAGAGGGCTGGTGCCTCACCAAACTACATTTCCCACAATTCCATAGCACTGAATGATTGCATTCTAAGTGTTATCAAACAGAATAAATTATTACAATATAGTAACATCCTAAGTGATTCCAAAGTCCTTTGGTGAATCTACGCTGGAATTAATGCAGTCTGGCACCACTTTCACTGCTCTGGTTCAATGCTATGGAGTCATTTTTGCAATATATTTTAGCAAAAAAAAAGTGCATTAGACTCAAGTAAATATGGCACTTTAGTATCAAGCAAGTAAGATTATGTGATGATAGAACTCATATTAGAATCCTCATATGATAATCCACTAAGCCTTTATCATTACAGGACCTGGTCACAAATGTAGCACTATATTCCTCTTCAACTACCATGGCAACATCCTTTGCATACCTGGGATTGACTATTAAAGGGAGAGGCTGTTAGAATCTGCCTTCATGAAGCTCCACTTCACACCATAGGATTCCATAGGATGTTGGCATGGCATTGGAAGTGAAATAGGGCAATATGTTTTTGTCCAATGAATGAGTCCAACACTTCTTTGAGGAATATACAGTAGGTCTTGCACTTTTCTTGTTCTTTCCCTCTCATGTTTCAGGGAAGCAGGTCTTGCAGAATTTTTTTGGGAAGGAGGTGCTAGATAGACTTGGCATGAAGGCAGCAAATCATGGCTCAGGGAAACTGTAAAGGGGGCCCATGGGAGAAAAGAATGTTTCAAAAGACAGAAACTTGCCTCTGAGATTCAGACTGGCACCAACATAGAATCAGAGAGTAGGAAGAGACCACAAGGGCCATCCAGTCCAACCCCCTGCCATATAGGAAAATATAATCAAAACACTCCCAAAAGATGGCCATCCAAACTCATCTTAAGAGACTCCAATACACTCTGAAGCAGCAGCATATTCCATTGCCGAACAGCTCTTGGTGTCGTTTATTTAGTGGCTTCTAACACTTCATAACCTCATGGACCAGCCCACATCAGAGCTCCCTGTCGGCCATGGCCACCTCCAGCTTCTTCAAGGTCAAGCTAGTCACTTCAAGGATGCCATCCATCCATCTTGCCCTTGGTTGGCCCCACTTCCTTTTTCTTTCCATTTTCCTATAATTGTCTTCTCTAAGTTTTCCTTTCTTCTCATGATGTGGCCAAAGTACTTCAACAGCTCTTACCATTAATATATTTTCCTATTGTTTTTAATAAACTTGTTCTTGTTATTTTCAATCTATCTCTGGCTCTCTATCACATCTGAATTGGAGTAGGCCATGCAAACCAAAACAAAAGAATCAATGGAAACTAGAACTCAGAGCAATGGGTTCAGATTACAGGAAAAGAGATTCCACCTGAAAATTAGGAAGGACTTCCTGACCATGAGAGCTGTTCAACAGAGGTGGTCTCTGCCTCGAAGTCTGGTGGAGGCTCCTCCTTTGGAGGCTTTTAAACAGAGGCTGTCAGGGAAACATTGATTATACTTTTTCTGCAAGGCAGGAGGTTGGACTAGATGGCCCATGCAGTCTCTTCCAACCCTATGATTCTATGCAATAACACAGCCGGAAGCCCATATTGAAAGGGTCACCTTGAGGCCCAAGGAGTCAATCTTGCTCTGACTGTTTCAGATCATCAGCCTCCTTACAGCTTCCACATCCATTTATTGACACATAATCCTGGCTTACCTTTTATTTTCTACAAACCTTTGTATTTTTGAAAAAATAAAAGTCAGCCACTGATATGCATATCAATATAAAATATCACAAAACACTTTTCCTTCACAAAAAGATAACATGAAATCATCAGACTAAGTGGGCGGGGACACCCATATTTCTTCACTTGTATCAACAAAAAAGATGAGATATCACACACACACACATATATATATGGTTCAATTTTATAAATTGGAATTGAATGTTTCTCAACTGTGATCTGAATCCTTTTTTAGATCAAGAAAACAGCAGTACTAAATAAAAAGTGCACATACAATTGGAAATGGGAACCATCACAGAAGAGGCATTTCCTCCTATATGGAACAAAAGGAGGACATCTTTCAATAATTTGTAATGAATTGACAAAATGGATTGATCTACTGTACTAAAAATGATGACCGAGGAATCACATGTATAGGTAGAAATCCAGAGTACTCATGAATCACTTCTAGGACAGCTGACTTGGAAAGTCATTGCTTCTTCGTTGTGTCCTCCATTCTCATTTGGGGGATGGGTCTGCAACAGTATAGGCTGGAGGAGGAGGAGGAGGAGAGAGGCCCTCACTGGGAGCCACAACACCTCCGTTGACAGCGTAGGGCACAAAAACCACTGGCTGCTGTAACATACACACAAAAAAATGGTTGATTACTAGAAATACTGTCATCATTATTACTGTTGTCATTTTCAACAGCTTCATAGTAGATCTGAACGTCATACTACCCCTCTTAGTATCATTTGAGCAAATATGCCATCTACTTTCCTGATATCACTGTGTTTTCTGCTTGGAGACTGAGTTATCAGAGGCAGTACAGAAAGAAAACAGGCTTCTTATTGCCACAGCCATTATGCTGGACTTATTTTGAAACACATTTGTGAGGCAGGAAAACAGATTATCCCTCAGCTTCCTAAGTTCATTTTCCAAAATAAGTTACTCTCAATCTTCCAGTCACTAGAAGATTTTTCTTAATTCTCAGCAATGATTTTAAATGTGTTTAGAGGGGTGGGGTGGAGTGGGGTGGGAAATTAACTATTTCCCCTCTTTGTACTGCACTTCCCAGAATCTTTTTTTCACTACCATGATAATCTAAGAGGAAAGGAAATCTTTCTAGATCTTTCTGCTTCTGAAGGAGAAAAAGACAGATAGCAACCCCTGGGCATCCCAATAAGACCTCTTGAGTCTGCAAGCTTGGAATCAAATTCTTACCTGATCCTTGTAGCAGCAGGCTGCCTGGCACCCAAAATGAGCCACTGAAACAGTGATGCTGAACTCCAGGAGAGATAACAAGAGGAGCAGGCTGGAGATACCAGCACCTACTGACTGCACAAGGAAAGGTGTTTGTTACATGCCAACTCTCACTCCAACTAGGTTGAATTGTGGAATTAAAGATCATGTGGTCAATAAGGTTCTGTAGCATTTGCTTATGTCTCTTGAAATAGAAAATAATAGAAATCTTTGATGGTGACTTGGAAATGGATTTAGCCTGTCTTTTGAAAAATTCTCAAACAAGATGCATGAACACAGAGAACACTATTTTGTGGCACTTTAAAACCCTGAAATAGGGCTATGCAGAAAAATCATCACATGCTGAGCTAAGCATTAATTATATGCTGGCTTTGTATTGAATGGTGAAGTGATGCCACCAAATGCATAAAAAAAATCTTCCCAGTGGACATATAAAAGAAGGAGTAAAATGTGGAAGAAAATCGAGAAAGGAGTGAGACTTTTATTGGCCAGCCAAAATGCACAAAATACGTCATGCAAACGTCAAACGTTTTCTGGCTCCTTCACCAGGCAGAGATGTTAGAAATCATACAGGAGAAGAAAAGTGACAATATAAGAGTCACATACTACAGCTGGTAGGTTTCATCTACACGGTCTTGTCTATTTTTTCCCCATATGCAACTGTACAGAGACGACTTGAGAAATTCAGTGTTCTCTAAGAAAGGGGCGGTTAGCTTTGCAGAGAACAGGTACAGCTTGGATCTCAAGGCAACTTCCCTTTCTGTTTCTATTTTAAATTGTATTGCCTCACTTTTATTGCCCTTTCTCCCTAGTCCTGACATAGCAAGGGATGGGATTGGCCTTTGCTGGCACTGCGATCCTGCCATTCCATTTTAACTGAAAACAGAAGTCATATTTCAGACAAAATGTAGGCCTGTGATTCTTAGTACTTGTATGTATTTATAAACTGTACTGGATCAGTGGCTCTGTAGGTAATATTTATTTATTTACTGTATTTATATACCACCTTTCATACCCCCTGGGGGGACTCAAGGTGGTTTACAACATACTAATGGCAAAATTCAGTGCCAACATACAGCACACAAAGAAATCATAATAACTAATTACTACATATAACTATGAACTTAAAATCATTAATACCATTAAACATAAGACATACATAAAATTTAAACATTGAGACAAAGCATAAAAACATCCTAGTATAAACATTAAAATCCCAACTCCAGAAATCGTATACTATAGCCATTCAAATTGTCAATGCACATGTTCCTTAGTTATTCTTTGTCCTGCATTATTTATTAGCCAAAGGCTTGATCCTACAACGATGTCTTTGTTCTCTTTCTAAAGGTCAGGAGGGAGGATGATGATCTAATCTTGCTAAGGAGGGAGTTCCAGAGCCAAGGAGCCACCACTGAGAAGGCCCTGTCTCTCATCCCACCAACCGCACTTGTGACGAAGGCAGGACGGAGTGCAGGGCTTCCCCAGATGATCTTAACTTCCATGATGGTTCATAGATGGAGATAAGGTAAGCAAAGCCAGAACCGTTTAGGGCTTTATAGGCTAAAGCTAGCACTTTGAATTGTGCTTGGTATCAGACTGGCAGCCAGTGGAGCTGACGTAACATGGAGGTTATGTTGTGTACTGTATATTTTGGTTCTGGGGCATTTTAGAGCCAAATCGTTTTGCATCCCTGTTCACCAGAAATCTCACTTTCCAATAACCTACTTTCCACTATAACAAATGTGTGCCATATTTCAGAGTTTCCTATCAAAGGGGGAAATTTGATAATTGTTTATCAAATGCTGGCCTCTGTGAGATAGTTTCTGCAACACTGGCCCTAAAAGACATCCCTAAAAGACATCCTGGAGACATCCCTTGACTGTTTATCCATTTGTATTTTAGAAAATTCAGAAACTCCTAAAATTTGATTGACAGATGTAATGGATATAAGACTGGAGACTAAGGACTTCATCATATGTGTCTTTGCAAGTGTTGTAGGATGCTTTCGCCCCAGTTGATCCACGGAGCCCCATGCTGCCCATCACACAATGCACACTCGCTTCTACTGGGCCTCCATTGACCAACTGGGGTGAAAGCATCCTATGATGGTACACCCAGAACACGGGAGGCTTCCAGTGTTCTGTTGGGAACAGTGGGGCCAGTGCAGTGGGAAGCCGTATGGTAATGCTTCCCCACTTGTGATGGGGAAGTGTCATTGTGTGTGAGACAGGGTATGGGGCACTGGGATTGCCCTGCTGCCAACCTGATTCCCCATGGAGGCTGCAAATCACCTCATGCAATCTCATCAGTGTGATGAGGTCCTAGTGATCAATCTGGATGCCACTGGTTCAACTCTCTGACAGGTATCCTTTAATAATCAGTGTGCCATATATTTTCTCCTAGCTTTCGCTACCTCCCACTAAAATAATATGAGCTTATTTTAAAGGCCTGCTATAAGAAATATTTTGGAGGTAAATAAAGCTATCTCAAGCACTATATAACCCCACAGTAGTAGTAGAAGACATTAGCATGAAGAGATTCTTCCGCCCATTCCACCTGATTTGGTCCATGGAAGATCTAGGAGCTTGTATATTCAATTACCAATGTAATTATAATTTATTTCCTTTTCTAATTAAACACCTTATTTTTATACCTAATTGGATTAAAAAATTGGATAAAAAAAGAGAGAAGCTAGGCCTTTCTTCAATGGAGATGTTATCAAAGTGATTAACAAGTTCACTTACTTGTATCCAATAATAGTAAACTAGATTTGTAGACTCATCGGAATCAGGCATAGTTGAATTTATAGCCAGCTCAAGTATCAGCAGAATGATGCCAGCTATTGTGATTATAGCACTCGTGATGTTCATTCCCACACTACATTTCACCTGAAAGAGACAGAAATTGGATTACATTACTGAAAGATTGCAAAGGGCACAATTTCATTTTGCTTCTTAAAGAAAAACAAAGCAGCAGTTAACAAAGTTTTGTCTCTTGAATCAAATATAAGTTTGGTTATGCCAGACACATGTCACATAAGAAGGGGGTGCAGTAATACACCTTTGCTCATCAGTAGGATCACCCTGCCTAGAAAGTAGGGAAGTGCTAGAATGAGAATACTTATCTCCTAAATGGCCTGAGGCTCTTTAGTCATTGAATACACCCTAGGATTCATTCCCAACTTCAGAAAGACTGCCCCAGGTGCAGGACCTTATCCCCTAACCAGGTCCAGAAACTTGGGTAGCTGATTAAAAATTTGGAATAATGTGTGTGTGTGTGCATGTACATTCAGGTCACATGTTGATCTATGGCAGGCCTGCACATGTTGGCAATAATAAGGGGCAAAAATTTAATAGGCTAACCCTCTTCCACCTGGCTTCCCTGTCTTTTCTTCTCTTTCTGGAGGCATAGCGGCACAGGGACAGGAGATAGGAGGAAGAAGCCATGTGTGCCATGGGCAATTGGCACTCAGTCACCCCCTGCTCTTGGCATATAGGGCTTCCTCCCATCTTCCCATTCCCTATATCCAGAGAGAGCAAATGAGAGAGAGAAAAAAAACTAGATACAGATCCAGAGTTCAGGTTCCTCAAGTTGCCCCCCCCCCCCCCAAACCTATACACACATTTCTGGAGGCACAGTGGCAAGGGGATGGGAAGAAGCCCTGTGTGCTAGGAACACAGAGGTGAAGGTGGCAGCGGCACTGTGCTTTTCCACTTTGTCCCTCTGCAGGCTGCACAAACTTTTTGTGTGGACCGCATCCAACCCCCGGGATGCATATTGTGCAGGCCTGATCTATGGCAACCTCATGGATTTTATAGGACTTTCCCAGGTACAGAATATTCAGAAGTGGTTTTGCCAGTTCCTTTTTTTCTGAAAGATAGCCTACAGCATCTGGTACAACATCAACATCCCATCCAAGGACTAAACAGGGATACCCATGCTTAGCTTCCAAGGCCAGACTGAATCTTGTGTCTTTAAGGCATTTGGGCTATCAGTGAAATTAACTAGAATGCAGTAAATAACAATTATGAAATCGTTGGACTACTTATTTTTCACAATGGGTTTGGTAAGACGGGAATTGGTGATTTGGTGCCTTTGAAGTATTTAGTAGAGGGCTGCCCCAGAGCATTTAACTATCCCAGTGACATTGAAAGTAGCAATCTTCATTGCTGGTGTGGCAGATGCAAATCATTTGTTGGCATTTCCCATCTAATACAAAAAAAAACCCCTCCTTTCTTCCCTCCTTCCCTCTCTCTCACCAATCCAGGGGTTAGACGTTTCTCAGCTGATACAGACAAGGATCCTGAAATGATGAACTGTCCAAAAGAATAATAAAATGCACATTAGATGCAGTCCACATAACCTTTATATAAGATTTTTCTGCATTTAGAAAAACTGGGTTGGGACTTTCTTCCTTGAAGACAAAGCAATGCTCTTTTCAAAGGAGGAAATATCTTATCACCTGCATCTTTGCTACATAAACACAGAAACAGTTCTCCAAGGGGTATTATGGGTAATAAACAAGGTGAATATTTCAATGAATTTGGTGGACTCCAAAGTTTATAAAATAACCTAGAGAGAAAAACAATCTAAAAAAACTTAAGGGATGACAAATTCGGAAAAAGCCTTGTAAAGACTGGTCATGTCTAGGATGGTACACCCAGAACATGGGAGGCTTCCCATGTTCCATTGGGAACAATGGGTCCAGTGGAGCGGGAAGTGTCGCTGTGGGTGAGGCAGGGTATGGGGCACTGGGTTTATAAGCTGTTAAAGAAATCCCAGTAGGATTTCATTGCAGATCTGCGTAGTCTCACTTCAGACTCATTATCCCTAATCACAGTAGTTCTCCCAGAAATATAATAAACATACATATGAATAGATGCACACCTGCCTTTCTTCATCACATGAAAACATATGGTAAACATGTAAACACTGCTTTGAGTCGCCTGAGGGCTGAGAAAAGCGGTATAGAAATAAAGTAAATAAAGTAAATAATAAATAACTCTTACACATTTTTCTTAGACAAGGAATAACATTATGTAACAAAATTTGGGGGGTGGGTTCTGATCCTGGTTTGAAAGTGTTATTTCCTGTCAAACTGTATGGTATTTAATTTGAAAGTAGTTGATATACTCCAAAAACTTCATTTTTATGGCTGCCACAACTATGTTGAATTGGTTGAGACTCTATGAGATACTTATTGAAAAATTATAGCAAAATGTGCTGCAGGATGTCCCTCAAAAACAAGTTTTTGCAGTTTAATAAACATTGTCCATGTTTTTTTTAATGATATAACCAAATAGGAAATGACATTTATAACCCAGGAACAAAAGTTGTGATATATAGTGTAATCAGAAGTGGTTTTGCCAGTCTGCAATATAGTCTACAGCAACCGGTATTCATTGATAGTTTTCCATCCAAGTAAAAACCAGAGCTACCAAGAACAGATGGGAACTGTAGAGTATTTGAGCATAGAAAAAGAACATACTACTTACAAATACTGCACCCCAGAATACATAGCCTGTATAAACAACCAAAAATATGTAGTTTGAAGCCGGAAAAGTAGCTGAGATCGCACCCAAGATAATGTGCATCAATCCAATAAAGATCTGGATGGCCTGTGGAAAGAAAATGCACAAAACAAAATATATCAGGTCCCTGGAAATACTTTTTAACGTTGTCTAAAAATAGTTGCTTGAAATACAGGATAACTCCGTATCTTGATCTGTTCAAATCCCTTCTCCATTAATATAAAACTAAAGCAGTTTATAAGTTGGCAAAGAAATTCACAAGTTCTAAGGCAATTAATTGCTGATATTGCTAGCATTCAAACACTGAAAATAATTTCCTCCCCACACTATGAAAATTTGGGCTTGGACTTGTGGGATGATGCCTACTTGTGATCCATTCTTCTGGGACACCAAACATTTCTTATTTTGGTGACACTTTCAGAGTCTTTCTAAATAAGAGAGCAGGGCAAGCTCAGGCATTGCCATCTTAACATCTATTGCTAAAAGCACAAGTTATGTGAGGTTTAACCCAAAAAACTGAATGCAAAAAGCCATTGGCACCATGTTAGGAATAATGCCAGCTATTATTTGTGACAGAATATCCTCACATGTGAATGTTCTCTATAAATGGACCACTTCTATTAATAAATTGTGGCAAACCATATTTAAAGAAAGAGACAGCGTTGCCTTCCCTTCAATGGATACCACCTGCCACAGTTTCTAGATCTAGATATTTAGGTAAGCCCATCTCCAATTCCCTTACTAAGCTTCATAAAACCTAATTATAATGTTATAATAGAGCAAATAAAAAATTAAATTAATGGAAGAAAACCTGTCATGGTTAGGACAAGTGGTTGCTGTTAAAATATCAGCATTCCTTAAACTATTTATTCCAAACTTTCCTATTATCCTTAATAAATATGTTAAATCAAATTGGTGAGCAGAAAAGCCATATTGCTTTTTCTGACTGACTCATAGGTCCATCTGGAAAGGATTAATCCTATAGAACAAATAATTACAGAGGAATTCATTTTGTGTTTTGAGATGATAAAAATATAATTCATGTCCTGTGTAACTATTGTTCATGTTTCTGTTTTGTTGGTATAATTTTTATCTTACTATATGTTGTTACTGTTTTTCTTAATAAATATGTTTTTTTAAAAGAAAAGTAAAAACGGTTAATTCTTTCATGGCAATAAATCAAAGAAATCATGCAAACGTCAAGATGATGATAGATTATATTTATTTATTAATAGCTGCTTTGTATATATCTTAGTGATGTACAGTTCCTTTTTTCATTTTTGTAAAATAATTGCTTTTATGGCTATAAATTCGACAAATAAGTAAATCAATCAATAATCGACAGCCCCAACACTGAGATAAAGATGAAATATTCGGAACTATAAAGACTGTAAACCAACAATAATAAAATGAAGGAGAGAGAGAAATGTTCACATTCCAATCAGACGTAACTGATTTCAATAAACAAACACAGTCACTTGCAATGTTTGCTGGTGGAAAATGAACCCATATTAACCTTTTGCTGGAGTTCTGCCAAATATAAGAATCCCCCCCCCCCTCCATGCCTTCTGCTAGGTTTTTGGTATTTTCTGGCCCGTTTTAGACCAAGAGGAGGTCAACAAGAACCTAATTAGATTGAGGTCCTGAAACCGGGGGGGGGGGGGGGGGGCAGTGGGACAAACTGTGGGACAGAGCGGAAACTGTGGGGATGTGCCTAGCTTCATCCCCTTACTGTGGTTGGTTGTGGGTTGCCATTCCATAACATTTCCCATCTGTCCTCTGTTTCCTTACACACTGCCCCCAGATTCTTTAGTGAGGATATGGGTAGTCACCCATATCTTCTTTTCTTCCTTTTAGCACGCTGCTGGGATGGAGCTGGTATGGAACCCGTCGGAAATAGCCCTGCGTCATATGATGGGCTCCAGAAGACTCCATCCTGGCTCCATCCTGGCAGCGTGCCAAAAAGAAGAAGAAGAGGTTTGTCAGAAAGCCTAAAATAACCTAGAGAGGCAAACATTGGTAAAAAATATATCCCAATGCACCTGTTTGAGGGCAAACCATTTGACCTTGGGTTCTGCATGCACTTTCCCCACCATAATTATTCAGTTAATATTTTGAAAGTAATTAAAATATTAAAAAATGAAACTGAAAATTTCTTCACATAAATGCACCTGTGTGAAAACTATGTGGGATATATATATATATATATATATATATATATATATATATAGTGCATCCCATTTGAAAACCCATCAGTGTGTCAAATTACATATTCTATTGGTCAGTGGATCTAAAGGATCCCTGTAGTGCTGTGGTGTCATAATGAATTTTGAAGGAAAGAAGGAAGGGAGCGAGGGAGCGAGAGTTATCTTATATGGCACCACTTTTGTGAAGCAAAATTGATTGAAGTGTAACCTTTCCCAGTAGTGGTCCAGGGTCCAAATGGGGCCATTACTCATAATGGCAGAGTAACACTCCCCCCTGCAGTTGGGCTTATTGGCAATCTTTCCTGCAACAACATCACTCCTGCAGAAAACACACATTGGATCAGGTATCTCAACAGAAACAGATATGAAACAAACTCACCCCCAGAGTCTTGGCCTCTGCTTTAAGAAAATTCTGAAGTAAGCCCACCTGAGGGTCTTGTTGAGATGAGTTGCTGGAAGTTCCCAGATGCTGGCCTCCATACTGTACATACTGTACCGTCCCTGGTGCTTGGATAATAGTAGTACCAGGAGCCCCTTGGGCTGCTTGGTATACATTGGCACCATTTGGGGGAAGGAATACTACTGTTCCACTAGGCATTCTCAGAAGATCTCTCAAGTCAGCCACAGCTAAGGTATCTGAAAATACATCAAGGAAATAAACAGATGAATAACACTGTCTCAGATTTGGACGATATTAAAAACTATGCAATGATACATAATACTGTTCAACTGTATAACATACAACCATGACATAAGACTATATCCAGAAAAAAATAACATGAAACAATAATATTTACTGTAACCATATTGGTTACAGTTGTCACTAGCTTGGTACTGCATAGGGCAATGGTTCTAGGCATCAAAAAATTCTTTGCTTACCAATGGATCCTACAAACCAGGCAGCCTGCAGAAGGAACTATAGGGTGTCAGCAAATGGAATCAGCCATTGGATATCTCTACATACAATCAAAGAGTGAGGCAGGACCTTCTCAACTTGAGTATCCCTTGAATATCATGACATCCAAGATTCCTTAAAATGAACTCCAAAGGATGAAAGATGGACATGCAGGCCCAACCTTGCATCCAAATGGCTGTAGTCCAAGGTCCAAACTACAGACAAAGTTATGAAAGAGCATAAAAGGTTGGCTTAGAAAGAATTTATTTATTTATTTATTTATTTAGAAGTTTTGTATACCAGTCTTCTCACCTCCAAGGAGGGACTCAGGCCGGTTCACAACATGTGTTCGTATACTAATAATATACAAAAATAACACAATGCGTCATCATTACAGGTTAAAATAAGTACAATAAAAACACCATACCATCAATTCCTGTAGTAAATACAAAATCTATCTGCAGGGCAGCTCAGCCCATTTCTGTTTATATTCTCCTCTACCTGGATGCTCTCCATGGAGAATCTGAGTTCACCATCAGCCAATCAAACAACTACCAATTTATTGGCTACCAAGAGGTCTGTGCCTGATGTCATAGCATATGAGCTTCTGTACAGAATAAGCATGAGAATGGAGTCAGATTTAGAGTCAGGACCTTGGATAAGAGAATCTGTGCCCAGTGAGCTTTCAGGTTAAACTGAAATAGACTGGGACAGAGAAGTCACTCACTAGGATGAAGCCAAGCCACAGAAGTTTATTTGATCTGGCCAAAAAGGATGTGTGTACAACCAAATCCTTCCAAAGTTATAGCATAATATGAGTACAAAGATACAAGGTTTTATACATTTGACAGCTATATCAAACTCCCTACCCTGATTGGCCGAAAGAGAAGTCAGTTTGGATCTGTGCCTTGATTGGTCAGCACTCTGATGACCTTGCCACCTCCAGGCAGGGACTTCCCCTGGTGGGATGGAGGTCACAGGGGATTGGTCTGAGGGGCTCAATCAGTTGTGGGAGGTGCTCCCTCTAGGAGGGGACGAGCTCCAGAAGATCAATGTTCATATTTGGAAAATGGAAATGAGTTTCTGATTGACTTAATCATCCAGCTCCAGGTGATGGGAAATGTTTTCGGAAAACAAAGGCAAGGGGCCCCTGGAACAAAAGGTGATCATCTCTTTTAATCAAATCCCAGACCTGGAATAAAAGGAGTCTGTAAATGTATGTTTTCATGGTCAGCAGTCTCTAAGCCCAAGTGGGATACCTGGCTGCACAAATATCGGCTGGTTTTATCAAGCATGCAAACTATCTATCATTCTACATGAACACACAATGGATCTTGATTGTTATCTTGCCAGGGATAGCCGAGAGGAGGGGGGCAGCCCAATCTCTCCTGTCTCTGCAGTGTGACTGAAAGGTGAAGACCTCTGAGGCTTGTCTTGGCATAAATCATATAAAACATATACACATTCAGTGATGCCTTGACTTATGAGCTTAATTTGTTCTGTGACTGAGCTCTTAACTCAAATCACTCTTATGTCAAATCAAAATTCCCATTGAAATGCTATTAATCCCCTGCACCTCCGCCCCCCAGACAAGACTGAAATCTGGATGTTTGTGGATTGATCAAAATAGGAAAAAATGCAGTGCCAGGACACGCAAGGAGGAGACTCGCAGGCACTTCATGAATGTATAAAGGAATGCCCAGCAAATGGAGACATTGAGAGGCAAGAAATGAGGGACACAAAACAGACACACATCCCCAGGTCTCCTCTCAACCTGCCTTTTCCCGCTCAAGCTATCTGTTTGACACACTGGTGACTCTCTAACACAGCCAATCTACACAGCCTGCACCCCTAAAACCACACACGTGGAATAGCTTCAGCACCAGGAAAAGGCAGGGCATGGATAAAATCCATGTGAGAAGAACTAGTGGCCTTGCCTCCAGGACAGAAGACAACAACCTGCTTTAATAGCCCTTTCTCTTCATCCCTCAGGCTTTGGAAAGGAAAAAGGCTTATGGTCTGAGGGGAAGTTGAAGCCTGCAAACCAAGCATATGTGGGAACAGTGGAAGGAAAAAAGAAGGAAGGAAGGAAGGAAAGAAGGAGGAAGGAAGGAAGGAAGGAAGGAAGGAAGGAAGGAAGGAAGGAGATGCTTCACTTCTCCTCCTCCTCCCTGCCATTGAATGGAAGGAGAAAGGCAACCTGGGGAAATACAGGCTCCTTTTTTCCGCCACAGCCAGGCAGTCCAGAACCCTTTTTGTACTTGATCTTAGCTCACAAAAATTAGCTCCCTGCTTGTAAATAGCCTTACAAATAAACATTCAGTGTAGCCATTGTTCATAAATAATTCCTGCACTGTTTTTGAACCAAAAAAAAAAACAATACAAAGAGAAAATCAGTGGTCATTGCTAGACTGGGGATGATGCCAAAGAATTTCCCCTTTTTGGGCCCTCTCTTTGTTTACTCCCTGCCAAGGTTTGTATTTATGTTGACAAACTGACTGATCAGTTTTGTTACTGTTATTAAAAGCACATAATAAGACATGGGCTGTTGGAGGACACAGTGAGAAAGGCAGCACAGCAAAAGGGTGATGGTGTTGATATCCATATGGATGATGGATTGAGCTTTTTTTTTTTCATGTTGGGAGCAATTTGAGAAATTGCAAGTTGCTTCTGGTGGATTGAGCTGAAACAGACTCAATCCAGACAACCATAGACCTGAAGACACGCTGATGCGTCCTGCAAACTCCAGGGTATCCCTTAATGCAGAGGGAAGTCTAATTAAGTGCTAAAAACTCGGGGGCGGGGGGTGGGGGGTTAAACCAGAAATTGCTATGCATCAGGAAGACTAACAGTATCAGTTTAGGGGTAAATATAGGAATTTTTAAATTTGTATATCTGTGGCTTCAGTGAAAATTATTTCTGTTTATAACTCATGTATGGTGTGCTTGCATTCCCTTTGAAACTTCGCATCCCCTCCCCCTTATTTCTGGATGACTAAAATCTATTCTAAATGCTTAAATACATGTTTGTTGTAGGTTTTTTGGGCTATATGGCCATGTTCAGACCTCACAACCTCTGAAGATGCCTGTCATAGATGCAGGTGAAATGTCAGGAGAGAATGCTTCTAGAACATGGCCATATAGCCTGAAAAACCAACAACAACTCAGTGATTCTGGCCATGAAAGCCTTCAACAATACATTAAATACATATTTTATTATTGCATGGTAAGGAATTTGATGAATGAAGAAAAAATCCATTGAGGTTGATAGAATACATGTGTGGGGAAACACACTCTCATCCTCCCCTCATAGATATACCCCCAGATGCATGAAATCTTGTCGATTCTTACTTACAATGGAAAGGACAGATTTAAAAGCAGTGCATAACTAAGTCAATTCAAGGCTTAGCTATATTCATCCATATAGTGAACTCATCTACATCACTTCTGGGCTGTGGTAATGAGGCAGCTATGCCAAGTGCTTCATTTGGATTGGCAAGTGCTTCATTGCATTTTTCCTTTCTTTCCTCATTCACCATTACAGTTTCTAGTAGCCTAACAAGAAGAATTTGATCCAGCTGGATAATTTATAGATTTCACATTCCAGTTATTCAGTTCACAAAGAAATAAATCTCACCTGCAGCTCTATTCACTGTCTTGTGCAATTAATATTAATAACATTTTGAGTGGTGAGATGGCACCAGGTAGGTACAAAAATTGCATTATGCCATCTTAATGTCATGGCAGCATGTCTCATGTTCTATGTCTATTTCTTTCCTTCTAATCATTAATGCAATTTTTAGTGGTCTGACAGGAATTATCTATCCTAGCTATAGAATCTTTATGCTCTTAATATCTGTTTGTGGGAACTGAAGGATGGAAAGACATTGGACCAGATGAGTAAAGCTGTCTTGACCCATGGCAAGATGGATTTTATTTATCATGTTTTAAACAATGCTATTTTTACCATTTTCTGCCCTTCATTTTAGACAAAGGTCATCTCCCCACAGGATGTTCCTGTCAAATACTTGGAAAGTAGCAAAATTAGTGAATTATATCAAGAGCAAGACTTTTAACGTCATCTTTTTACATTCCCCAGCACAGAATTCCACCCCACAAATCCCAACATATAAGCTAATTGCCACACAGTTTCCTGTACCCAGGGCTGGGGGTGGGGGGTGGGGGGTGGAATAGGGGTCCTGCTTGCTCAGGTTCATAATCTAGCCCCCTGAAAGGCACAGAAGTTAAGCAGGCACAATCTGTCAGCCATATGGTAAGACACACACACTCAAATTAAATATAATTCTTCATTATATTACTTATATTCATTATGGTGAATATCCTGGCAGTGTCTTTTAGGGCTGTGCTTTTGCCTTATGCCAAGACTCATCCATTTGGGGGATAATAATCCCAAAAAAACTCCATAAGAAAAACTTAAGTTTAAATACACTTTATGATGTTACAACTGTGATAATTTGTGCTTGCTTTAAAAGTTTATACTTTAATTTCTCCTAAACTATCAAGTAATTTTGGAATAATTAGGTACCAGATTAAAGGTATTTTGTGTAGTTTCTAAAAATGTGATAATATGTATTGATCATTGATCTTGATTTTTAGATATGCCAGTTTAAAGTGTGTGTGTATATATATATAGGTTGTTTTCAACTCTTAAACATTTGAAAACATTCATACGAAACACATTGGGGCAAGAAAGACTGACTGGATTTGCACTCTTGAGTGTC